GAATCTATGAAAATACAGCCCGAGGGCTGTATCTGTCCCACCAGGCCATTCTATCTGGCCCCCTAAAAAATTTAGAAAATATTTATCTGCTCCTAGCTGCCTGTCAAAGGTGACATGATGCCCCCCGGGGTAGTAGGACCCAGGGGGAGCAGCAGGAGACAGGAGCCCAGCCCACCCCACTCCCAGCCAATTCCCTGCCTTCCTGACCCCACCCTGTTCCAGCACCCTGTGGCTCCCAGCTGCATTGCTGGTAGGGAGGGATTCTCTGTGTGGGTGTGGGTGTGTGGGTGTGGGTGTGTGGGTGTGGGTGTGTGTGTAAGGTGTGTGTGTAAGGTGTGTGTAAGGAGCCTTACTGAGAGTGCAGGAACAAATCATCCTGATGTGCAGGAAGACTAGCAAGTATGGCAGAAGACCAGCTTGGCTTAGGGAACTCTTCAGTAAACTTAGTCACAGAAAGGAAGCTTATAAAAAGTGGAAACTTGGACAGATAATTAGGGAAGAATATAAGAGCATTGCTTGGTCATGTAGGGATGAGTTAGAAAGGCCAAAGCACAATTGGAGTTGCAGCTAGCAAGGAGCGTGAAGGGTTCCTACAAGTATGTTGGTAGCAAGAGGAGGATTGGGGAAAGTGTGGGCCCCTTACTGAATGGGAGAGGCAACCTTGTGACAGGATGCAGAAAAAGCCAAAGTGCTTAATGCTTTTTTTGCCTCAATGTTCACAGGCAAGGTCAGCTCCCAGACTGCTGCACTGGGCAGGAGAGCTTCAGGAGGAGGTAAGCAGCCCTCAGTGGTGAAAGAACAGGTTAGGGACTACGTAGAAAAGCTGGCCGTGTACAAGTCCATGAAGCCAGATCAGATGCACCCAGTGGTGCTGAGGGATTTGGCTGATGAGATTGCAGAGCTATTAGCCATCATCTTTGAAAACTCACAGCGATCAGGAGAGGTCCCAAATAATTGGAAAAGGGCAAACATAGTGCTTATATTTAAGAAAGGGAAGGAGGATTCAGAGAACTACAGACCATTCAGCCTCACCTAAGTTCCTAGAAAAATCATGGAGCAGATCCTCGAGGAATCTGTTTCTAAGCACTTGGAGGAGAAAAAGATGATTAGGAACAGTCAGCATGCATTCACTAGGGGCAAATTTAATAGATTTCATAGGTGTTAGGGCTGGAAGGGACCTTGTAAGATCATCGGGTCCAGCCCCCTGCCAGAGGGCAGGAAGTCAGCTAGGGTCAAAGGATCCCAGCAAGATAAGCATCCAAATGTTTCTTATAAGTGTCCTGAGTAGGTGCTTGCACCACCTCTGGGGGGAGTCTGTTCCAGGCCTTGTGGGGTTGCACAGTAAAGAAGCTTTTCCTTGTGTCCAGCCCAAAACAGTCTTGCAGGAATTTGTGACTGTTGGACCTTATCATCCGTTGGGGTGCTGTGATGAACAGACGTTTCCCCAGATCCTGATGCACACCCGTTCTGTACTTATAGGCTGCAACCAAGTCATCGCTGAGCCTGACCAACCTGATTGCCTTCTATGATGAGATGACTGGCTCTGTGTATGCAGGGAGATTTGTGGATGTGGTGTACCTTGATTTTTAGTAAGGCTTTTGATATGATCTCCCACAACATTCTCATAGGCAAGCTAAAGAAGTATGAGCTCAATGAATGGACTGTAAGGTGGATAGAAAACTGGCTGGAGCATTGGGCTTAGAGTAGTAATCAATGGCTCAATGTATAGTTGGCAGCTGGTATCAAGTGGGGTGCCCCAGGGGCCGGTTTTGTTTAATGTCTTCATCAGCGACCTGGAAGATGGCATAGAGAGCACCCTCAGCAAGTTTGCAGATGACACCAAGCTGGCAGGGAGTAGTAGATATGCTGGAAGGTAGGACTAGGATTCAGAGCGACCTAGATAAATTGGAGGTTTTGGCCAAAAGGAATCTCATGAAGTTCAACAAGGACAAGTGCAAAGTCCTTCACTTAGGTCTGAATAATCCCATGCACTGGTACAGGCTGGAGGTTTTAAAAACCTGGCTAGACAAAGCTTTGGCTGGGATGATCTAGTTGGGGCTGGTCCTGCTTTGAGCAGGGGGTTGGACTAAATGTGTCCTCCTGCGGTCCCTTCCAACTCTAACTTTCTATGATTCTGTGACACATTCTTAGTATATTAATTATTCCATTTTAACTATCCGGGTATAGCTAAAGCAGTTAAATGTTCCCTAGGTGGGAGTGTGCTGGTTTAAAGGTGAATTATATCAGTATAGAAAGCTACATAACTAAAATATGATTGTATATGATTGCATCTAGATTAGTGGGTTATACAAGTTTCTCTCTTTTGGTTAATTGATAGTTTTTAATGCAGCAAACTTTAAAATTTTGATAAGGCTTAAATGAGCTCTAGTAACTTTTAATATAAGGGCACATAGCCCTGTACCTGATTTTATATATATGACCAGCCTGGAGATGCTTAATGATTTGAGACATCCAGGCTGCATCTCAAACCTGACTTGTTACCCAAAACTTCTTAAGCATAATCATAACTGTGAATGTGTTAAGCAAACCAAACTTCAGATAGGCACAAGAAATCTCCATTCCCTGAGTAGTTCTGGAACTTGTCTGATTGCTTTTCATACCACTTTTCATGTCTTCCCTGGAGAAGCAGGGTACAGGTCTCTTGTACTTTCTCTGTTAGCATTTTGAAAACAGATTTTTATCTGGAGGCCTCTTTGCACTGCACGATTCTGAAACATAGGTGAAGGTGGTGGTAGAAATTGCACATGCCCTAGGTATGAACGTTTCTGTAAGCAGTGTGGTATCTGTGACAGGTTGCCTATTCAGGGCTGGGTCTCATCCTCAGCCCGCTCACCTGTTCTGGAGCAGTCTGTGCGAATCTCACCTGCCATGACTTGTTGTATAATGACTGATGTAAAATGTGGGAAGCTGTCCATTTTAATGCCCGATGCCAAGGGCGGTACACATGACTCTGAACTTCCCTTATTGTATCCCATGCCTCTTAGATGTCATCTGAATCATTACAGTGCCTCACTCTATGACCAGTGCTCCAGCATCTCACTGGGACTCTCACTCCCCACTGGAGCATATGGTCATTGTGCTCTCATACTGCCAGGTCTTAACCCTGTTACAGACATGGCCTCCAGCCCAACTGCAATCTCAGGCATCTGTAGACCTACCTGGGCCTGGCTGCCCCCTCCCTGGGGCTTCACCCTTAAGTCAATTTCTCATGGAGTTTGGCCCATGTGCTGCACTTCAGGTCACTCTTGCACCCCATACTCATCACACCCCCGGTGCAGCTCTTCACGTCCTCCTTATCAGACCCTACTCTACACCAAACATGCATGGCACTTCAGGTTGTCCTCATGCACCCTACTGTATGTGGGCCACTCTCTACTTTAACCGCTATGCTGCCCCCTACCCCGCATTGGGGCCACCGAGGTCTTTACCTCCTATGGGCTCAGGTGTCCAGACACATGTCTGGCCCTCACTTCTGTACCAGGGTCTAGTACCCCATGGGGTTCAGGTGTCTGGAGATGTACCTGGCCCCCACTGTGGGTAACCCACCAGGGTGTGGGGGCTGGGGTTATAAGGTGCTCCTACCCACCTTTTGCTGTGGAGGCAACTGGCCTGCCATTTCTGGGGAACTGCCCTACCACAGACAGGTCCACTAGGTCATCCTGCCCCAGTAGGGTGCATCTTTCAACCATACTCAGGACCAGGAGCCTCCTTCCATCCCCATATCTCCTGCCCATACCTCCAGGGTGTTCTAAGCAGAAGCTCAGCCAAGTGTTGTTCTATGGCTGCTTGCCACAGTCCTGAGCCCTGGATCTAAAATGGAGGCTGCTCAGTCCCCTCCTCCAATCCCAGGGCCCTCCTGCAGTCAGGTGACCTCCTCATTGGGGCTAGCTGGCACCTGCCAGCTGCCCTGTTGACTGCTCTGTAGCCCCTTAAAGTGGCAGGCACTGTGAGTGCTCTGCCACAGTGCACCCCATTATACTAAGAAATGTATATGTATGGGAAGGTCACCAATTTCTGGAGTGGCACTGTAACCCCATCATTGTCCTTTTACATTCTTGCTGCTGTCAGGCACCTGGTTTGCTCTTTCTCCCACTGCTCCTGCTTGTTAAATGGGTACTTTCACCTGTCCACAGTAGTGCATAGCTGGTTGTGCTGATATGCCACTTAGGTCAGCCATGTACTTAATAAAACTGCAAAAACTCTGACCCAAATAGAAACGGGAAATGGGTGCTCTGTCTTTGAGGCAGGAGGAGCAGGGAAACCAGGTACCAAGACTCTGAATCTTCACTTGTGCTCGTTTCTTCTGTTGAGCCTTGTTCTGAGTTCTGAACACTTGCATACTTGTTTTCATGCTGCTAGTAAGAGGGGACCTTTGAAAAACCTTTTAGGATTTGTGACTGAAACACCTAGCACATGCCTCTGCTCTTTAGTATAGTGGCCGCTACTTTCAGCGACTGCCATCTGGTAATGAGTATTATCTCTCATTAATGCTGTTTTGTCTCATACAGGTGTTTCAGGAGTTTCAGCCCTTTGGAAAGGCCGAGAAAGTCTGGTGTAAGCCTTCCTCTGAGGTGGAGTGGATTTTAGCCCAGATCAAAGACTTGGTGCAAGAAAACAGGTATGGTCTCAAGAGAGAAGCACCCCCTACCCCAGGGAGGGTCCCAGTCCTGAAGAGTGCCTTATCTACTGTTGTCTAGTACTGTTTTACTTAGGGGTGCACCAATAGAGATTTTGGGGGCCAATACCAATAGCCAGTTTTTAAGGAGGCGTATTGGTTGATACCAATCTGATTTCCAATATGGCTTGGAGAGCTGCGTCCAGCTGGTAAGTCTGTTGTGGTGGAAGGAGAGGGGGGAGGGAAGGGGCATGGGGAGGCAGATCAAGGCCCCTGCGGTGAGGGAGGAGTGGGACTGGGGTTTGGGCTGGGGTAAATGCTGCCCAGCCAGGGTGGGGCAGGGCATGGTATGGAGCTGCGGCTTGTCAGGGGGAGGGGGAGACTCCCATTGCTGCGTGGACCCCAGGAGGGCATGGGGGGGGGTGTCTCCGGATCTACATGGGCCATGGGCAGGGTAGGCTGATGTTGCAGGCTGAGGCTGGGGC